ACAGTGGTGGCTCCACCCTGCTGAGCTCTTCCGAATCCCATCCCAGCATTCATCCAGGTATACCTTCCTCTCTTCCCCTCTTCCCTCGGGGGCCCTAAGATCTCCCCAGTGCAGCTGCCTTGCACGCTGGGCCTGGGCTATAGGCGCAACCCGGCAGAGGCAGTTCCTGTGTTTTGATAGCCTGTCTGAGGACAGGCGGGCCCTGTGTCAGCCACATTCCTGGCCAGCAAGGGGAAGTGATCTTCTAGCAGACATCCATCAGAGGAGGGGATGTCCCCAGCTCAGATGCCTTGAGCACTGGGCCTGGGCTGTGAGTGCAACCCGGCGGGAGTGCCTGTGTTTCAATAGCCTGCCTGAGGAAAGGTAGGCCTTCTGTCAGTGAAGTCCCTGCCCAACAAGGAAACCTGACCCGATATCAGAAGATCCAATAGAGAGCATTTGAAGGAAGAGATGGGCAGACACCAAGGCAAGAACTCCTCCAACAATCTGAAAAGCAACATGAAAACACCAGATCCCAACAACCCTACAATAGAAGGACTTGAACCTCTTAATCCAGAAGAAGTGAAAAAAAGTGCCATTATGAAAGCAATAGAGTCCCTTAACAGGATAGGAATAACTCCCTTAAAGAATTGGATGAGAAGTACAACAAAAAGATTGAAGAAATGAGTAAACAAATGAATGAGAAGTATAACAAAAAGTTTGAAGAAATGAGTAAATCTGTGAATGATACACTGGGAAACCAAGAAAAAACAATCAAATAGGTAATGGAAACAGTTCAAGAATTGAAAACTGAAATGGAGGCAATGAAGAAAACATAAAACGAGGGTCGGCTGGATATGGAAAATCTAGGTAAACGAACATAGACTACAGAATCAAACATAACCAATAGGATACAAGAGATGGAAGAACGAATCTCAGATTCTGAAGATACCATAGAGAAAATAAATGCTCTGATCAAAGAAAACGGCAAATCCAACAAATTCTCATCACAAAACATTCAAGAAATCTGGGACACAATAAAAAAACCAAATCTAAGAATAAAAGGGATTAAAGAAGGAGAAGAGCTGCAGATCAAAGGCCCAGAAAATATATTCAACAAAATTATAGAAGAAAACTTTCC